CTCTCCAGCCTGTCCAGGTCCCTCTGAATGGCAGCACAGCCTTCTGGTGTGTCAGCCTCTCCCCCCAGTTTACTATCATCAGCAAACTTGCTGAGGGTGCACTCTGTCCCTTCATCCAAGCCACTGATAAATAAGTTGAACGATGCTGGACCCAGGACTGACCCATGGGGGACACCCCTAGCACCAGGCCTCCAACTAGACTCTGCGCCATTCACCACAACCCTCTGAGCTCGGCCATCCAGCCAGTTCTCAAGCCACCTCACTGTCCACTCATCCAACCCACACTTCCTGAGCTTACCTAGGAGGATGTGATGGGAGACAGTGTCAAAAGCCTTGCTGAAGTCCAGGCAGACAACACCCACTGCTCTGCCCTCATCTCCTCAGCCAGTCATTCCATCAGAGAAGGCTATCAGATTGGTCAAGCATGATTTCCCTTTGGTGAATCCATGGGAATCACTACTCCTGATCACCTTCTCGTCCTCCACATGCTTAGGGATGACCTCCAGGATGAGCTGTTCCATCACCTTTCCAGGGATGGAGGTGAGGCTGACAGGCCTGGAGTTTCCTGGCTCCTCCTTCTTGCCCTTTTGGAAGACTGGGGTGACATTGGCTTTCTTCCAGTCCTCAGGCACCTCTCCTGATCTCCAGGATCAGGACACCTTCCTATATGGGTGAAAAGTGAAACAAATGTTTCAGTCAGATACAAAAACTAATGCATACTGCTTGTTCTCTACTCAGCCTTTGCTTTTCTTATTTCTAATGAGGTTAAATTCTGTTTCCCTTTCTTTAAAGGGAGGTTCATGTTGTTGTACTTCTGCTGCGAGGTGATATGAATTTTGAACAGCTAAGTACTGGCTGTTCATTAGGTTGCTACATGGTAGGGAGGCGTTTAATAAACCCATTTGCTGCACAATTGGAGCCTGTGCCCTCAGGAGTTCTGACTCACTGTAATGATTACCCACTGCGGGCAGCTCCTAGATGTACCCCTCTACTCTTGTTCAGATTGTGCAAGGCCTTTTCAAAAACAAACTTCCTTAAACAAAAATCAGAATTAGTCTTTTAGACTTGCTGAATAGTTGTGGATTTTAAAAGTAAAAAGTCCTGGCTTGAATTGGGGATTATTCTCTGGATTTCAGCCGTTAACATTAGTCTCTTTGGCTCCAAAGGCCTATTGCTTTCCTTTCATTTGTCTCTTGCTGTTTCTGTCCCAGCGGGATGTCTGGTCCAAAGTGAGAAATTCCACAGTTTTTAATGGGAAAAATTATTGATCCAGCTTAATTTCTGCAAACTGTAGCTTATTTCCAAGGTTCCACAGCTCTGTGCACTAGAATTGTGCTTTGAAAGCAATAGACAAACAAATCTAAGTGTTTGAGAATTTATGCCGGCTGAAAGAGCTTGAAATGAGAAGAGCTTGAAAGCAACCAAATGAATGAAAAAGAAGTGCTGTACACACAAAGCTTTGGAGCTCAAGCTGAGTTGTTTCTCTTCAAACAAACACATTGTCAACACCGTACATTTTATATAAGAGCCTTTTATCCACAAACACCACAGAGTGCTTTACAAAAAAAAACAAAAAACGAAAAAACAAAAACAAACTCTACATCTGCCAGGAGATGTGGCCCCACTGTGGGGTAAAAAGCATTATGTAAAAATGTCAAGCAACTTACACAACAGTTTAGCACAGGAAGGGAGGAATACTCCGTCTAAGCTGAACCACTGTAGAATGGATTTATCCAGCCACCTTGGGATTTGGCCAGGATACTGAAACTCATGTTGCTACTTCTCCCTCTGCTAGCAGTGCATCACCCTGCAGATTCCACACTGGAATTGTATTGTGTTGACTTGGGAGTTCCCATTGCCCCTTTGGTACCTTTTTTAGAGGTATCTCACTAAGTTTCTAAGTAGTGTGTGGGTATTACTTAGACTATAGGTAGATGTTACCTACCTGTGCTGAGATGTTCACCTTTATTAAAACACTAGTTTGAGGAGCCTGGGGCTTTCAGTACTGCTTTGTCTCTTTCAGCAATTTCCGTTCCTGAAAAAGGTTGTAGCAACTGGCAGTGTCTCGTCACCAACGTACTGTGGTAGTCAAAATAAGCCCAGTATACATGAGAATTTAGCTTAAAATTTCAAATTCTAGTTGAAGTCAACTTTTTTATTCTTGAAATGTTTAAAAAGTTTTCTTTGGTATAGCTTTGAAGGGTGGCAGAAGTTTGAATCCATTTAGCTAAGGTGGGCTTGTGTTTCTTGTATCTTGTGTCCAGAAACATCTCAGGTTATACCAAGTAGTATAAAAGTTGATGTGCGTAGTCCAAAAATTGAAACTTTTCACTTTAGGCAGATCACAGGATACACAAACAGTGCTGCTAGGAACATGTGAAACCTGTGCTTGTTCTGAGCAGGCTTGAAGGGCAGAGGAGGCTCTAAAGAGACAATAGAAAAGGGAACAGTTTGTGCAACAGGCAAGGTCCTAATTATACTATCTTAGAAGTATGATGAAATGAAAACGGGTTTAGAGAATGGTATACTGAAGAATCAAATCATAGAAGTCTCATTTGATCTGCCTGGCTGATATTTTGGATTGAAATTTGTTATTTCTGAAGCCCTACTTGCCTTGCCATTGCTAGAAAGGAATGGCTGATTTTTATTTTATTTTGTGTTTTATTTTCTTGTTACTTCTATTTACCCTGGGAAACTTCAGACCTCTAAGACGGGCGACTGAGCACTTCAAGTGCATGCTTAGCTTTAGCATGTAAATAGTCCATTCTAATCCATTAATTGGTGCTGAATTCTCTTATCCTGTAAAACTGTGAAGCATTAGGATTCTTCAGCGATGAGGCCCCCCCCAACAAGTATCACTTCTCAAACTGCCTAATGCCTCTGGTGCCATCACTTGGCAGGAGTGCCAGAGTATGCAGCCAGCAGCTCTCAGAAAAGTCAGAGACGTGTTGTTTTCTTGTGGCATGCTTAATTTCCACATGACTGGGACCAAAGGATCCAAGTCCATGTACATCTTGGGTCTCTCAGCAACTCATCTCCGTGTTGCCAAGGTGCTATGCTGATTCAGATGACCTTTTAAATCAAATGTGTTTTGCTTATTGGACAGTGCTCTATGTGCATTTTGTTTTGCAGATACAAAATGTTTCTTAATCTCAGTCAGGTTTAGAACCATTGAAAATAAAGAATTACAGAAATTAAAGATGAATTTTATCAATAGAGAAACATTCAAAATATTAGCTTGAACTGCATATAGTTTTTACTTCTAGTTATTTCTACAAGCACTTTTTACTCATTATCTCTGTGATTCCTTGTGCTGTCATTGTGGTGTTTTTCTAGCGGCATATCTGTTAACGTGCAATGGTGCTTTCTTTTGTCAGATCTTGTTCCTAGAAGTTTACACTAACTAACGTACAGTAGTCTATCTCTACAGTTTTCTTTTGTGGGCAGATCTAGTGTTTTAAGTGAAGAATAGATCTAGATTTGTGTGGTTACGTAAGTATATGGCTGTTAGCTATTTTGTGCGGAAAGACAGATCCACATTTGGTAAGGACAATGTGATAAAGGAAGATAAGAGGCAGTAGAGATTGCTTGGCTGAGTCCAAAACTAAGAATGAGATGCTGAAATCTCAATACAGCCTTTGGCATACTGCATGGACCAGGCATTATCTGGGGCCTAATCTAAGGTCCCTGGAATCTGTTCATTGATTTGGGAGGTAGTGAATCACTTTAGACTGCCCCATCACAGAGGAAGAGTCAATGGAGAGTTTCTTGTGGGGTAAAAGCTTTGTTTTATTGTGATTGTTAAGAGAAGCAAGGGGAATAACAAAAGGCCCAAGCATTTCTCTGCAAAAAAAAAAAAAAAAGGCTGGTACCTGACTGAGCGAGCATAAGGTAGAACTTTCTGAAAATTTCAGGCCCTAAAGGGATCAACTGGCTAATAGTTTATGATAGATTGTGGAAGAAGGAAAGTGAAGAGTTTGGCTTTGGAATTTGAGCATATTTTGGTATGGGGAACCTGAGCCTCTTCTCACAGCAGTGGCAGGGGGCAACAGATTTTTCTCCGGAGGCCGTAGCACTATTATAGATTATTACGTGAGTCAGCAGATATTCCTTGGTGGCAGTGTAGCCTTGTTTAAGCTACTAATAGTCATATACCTCTGTCAGGAAAGCCCATCTAGGAAGAGAGGTGGACAGAGGACGTTGTCAATGGGCTGAGGTCTGTTTCTGCCAGGAGATATGCAAAACTAGTTGAAAGTCAACTCGGATATGTTGGTATGAGCCATACCTTCGCTGACTGTTGTGCAAGCGTAGCCTAATAAGGTATTATTTCCCTTTATAGCAACGGTGGCCTGGATCCGTGGTCTGCAGGGGGAGTGACCCAGAACATCACTGATTCCCTCATAGCAATTGTGATCCCAGATGGAGCTCATCACCTGGACCTACGCAGCCGCAACCCTTGTGACCCCAAATCTGTGCAGCAAGCTCGGGCCTTGGAAATTCATTACATGAAGCAGTGGATTGAAAAGGCCAGGCATAACCACTGAAGTGGTACTGAAACCACTATGGCCATTATACCTCCATTGGCTTTGCTGGGAGAAGGGCTAGGCCTTATCACACTGTTGTCTGAATGTTTCACTCTTGCTCCCTCACCTCCTTTACAGCGCTAGCCACCGATGCTTATGCCCAGAAGAGGAGAGGGTGATAGATGGAGAGCATTCTCCAGTAACCAGCTTTGGTTAATAAAGCGCATGGATTGAGCTGCCTGCTCTGCCTTGCTTTCCTGTTCTGCTATTCTCAAATGCTGCACCTTATGGTAGAGTTCCTGTTCTAGACGTTAATGCCTTCCTGGCTGCGTTAGATTATTGTCTTGGGTGCTGGTAGAGTGTATACATGGATTAAATAGCGGTCCTGTTAATTGTGATGGCTCCTGCTGCCTTCAGTGGGATTGAATTTCTGACATCCTCAGCTGGAATACCCTGTCATGGCAGGGGTATGGAGCGAATGAGGGAACAAAAATCACATCTCTGATGTTTGCTGGAGAGGTAAGGAAGGGAAGGGGGAATTGGCTGTGCAGTTTATATAAACAAAAACAACTCCTCCTCCCCACCTAAACAGCCCCTACCCTTAGGAATCAATGCTGGAAAACAAGTAAATATCTTTTCCCTTAGTTTTCTGGCAGCTTATTAATCAAAGCTGCCTTAAGTGGTTTTTACATTCTACTCTGTACTGAATGATGAGGGCTGGTCCCTAACTCTCTGCTGATAGCTTGCTGAGCATGCATAATTTATACCAGGGTTTTATTTCTTCTGTTGTTGTTTGTCCTAACCCTAGAGTATCTGGCACTGTGATAACAGTAGCCAAAAAAAAAAACAACCCTCTGGCTATATTTCATGTGTGTGTGTCCTGCACAAACACTTACTTTTTCAAATCAGGAAGCTTTCTCAGCTATTTTCTTGATGAGCAAATGTGACACTTGTGTTGGCTAGAGCTTATGAAGAGACAAATAATAGGAGCTGTGCCTTGTGTGGGGTCCCCCCCCATTCTGTGTATTGTTGCAATTCTGCATGATCTGTTTGCTGATAGCTCTTTAATAAAAGCCTTTAAAAAAAATGTTTACAGGACAAACTATTCAAAACACAGAATGCAGCTATCCTCTTGGATCAGCCTAAAGCATGATGCTGAGCTCAACAAGCCAGGTGCACTAAGGCTTTCTGTAAAGCTTCCAAAACTGACAAACTGCCGTGATTCATGAGACGGCATATTTGATGTTAATAAATGGCTGGGGCAGTCCCCTCGTTTTGCAGCTTTGGCTTCATTCACACTGAAACCTTTCTTCAGAAAGGATTCTTTGCAGTTTTAAGGACAATTCCATTTCAGAAAGATGTGGGCAAGGCTTGCTGGGCTGAGGCTCTTAAAACTCCAGTTCTATTGAAAAGTTTCTCAGCTTTGATGATATGCCTGATAGTTGAGTATTTTCCTAAGACACCAGGTGGCCTTTGTTTTCAGTGTCCTCCCATTCTCTGAGAACAAGATATACGTAACACTGAAATTTTATCTTTTAATAAACTCCTGTGAATCCTCTCTTCTTTCCGATAGTTACTGGCATCTTCCTGTCTTGCTCTAATGTTGTAGAAACAGTTGTGTTAAACAAGGCATTTATATGCAGATTCAGCACTGTGAACCTCTCCTGCTCTGTCTTGAGCAAGGTTATTACTTCAGAGAATATAGAGAGCAAGACCAGAAAGAATCATAGGGGAAAAATAAAGAACTAGTTAGAACTTGCCTAAAACCTTTTGATTGAATGTTGTTGTCAGTCCTTTTCCATTAGGTCTGTTTCTTCTGGTACTGTGATGTAAATATACTCTAATTTCTTGCTCATGTACTTTATAATGACATAAGGGCCCCCCCCTTTTTTTTTTTTTTAAATCAAAAAAAAGAATGTCTTCTAATCGCCTGAGTTACAAGTCAATTTAAAAAAAAAAACCGTTGTATCTTCTTAAGCATTAATTACTTTATAGTAATGTCCTATTTTACTGAAAGGTAAGCAATGGAATTTGCAAGTGTAAACATAAATCACTGGGATCACAAATGGATTGCAACCGAACAAGCAAGAGCCTGGTCCAGCTCTCACTAAACGCATAGTGTTCTGAGTGCAAGTTCTTGGAATAAATACTGTAATGCTATATGGAGATGGATATGGAGAAATTCATGCAGTGGGCTGGTATAACGTAATCGCCTTATGTCCCCTCCTCCTATCTCCTTACTAGTTAACTTTCTCTCTCAGGAAACAACTTGTTTGTTGTTTGGAAAACGCTGTTAGTTTCAAGGAAAGTAATTTAAACTTGCATTCCTTTTTTCTTTCCCCTTTATTTTTTCCTCTCCTTTTATTAGCAGAAAAAAAAAATCCTTTTAAGGAAATTTAAATCTTGCTATTTTGAATTTTGAAAAATTGTATTTAACAGCAAAACTGTTCAGTTTCTTAACAAAAGCAAACAAACAAACAAAATCTTACCGTTCCCGTTCACTTTCTGACTGAAACCAGCTTTGATTCTAATATACTTTGGATCAGGTTCTTATTGCTTGTACCAGCTTATAAATTAGGTGACTAGCTTTCTGATTAATCATTCTACCTTGTTACTTCTTCCTCAAGCTGAGTAGTTGAAACTAAGTCCTATTTACCTTAAGCTTTCAGACCACATCTTAAAATCTGTATACCCATCTATATATGTTGGCAAGGGACTATCTGTGTTGTTTGGCTACCTCATTTGAATATTAGCTCTGCCTGCTTGTTTCATGCAGGTGGGAACAAAATGGATCGCTGGAAATTGCTGTCTTCTACCTTCTCTCCCCAGTCATATCATGATGGTCCTTATTTCCTCTCAGGCCCATGTATGCCCGTGGTATGTGTCATGAATGATTTGAATTAAAATACATGTTTCTCACTGATCAGAAAAATGCAAAGGGAGAAGAATTAATGATAACCCTACCCAAAACACGAATCTTACTGGAGAAACTGCAGCTTATATCAATAAAAATGTGAGCTTCTGAAACTGGATTTTATTTTGTAAGGACAAATTTTTGTCCTCAGGCAGATTTAGAGTTCTGCAGACGTGTAAGTATTGCCTAGTTTATGCTTGACTCTGAGTGGGAAGGTGACAGTATTTAAGCTAATACTCACTTATACACACAACAGTCAAGATATCAGATTTTGAGTTTCATTTGGTAGTTTCCCACTTGAGCAGTTTAGCTAACTAGTGAGGAACAGATGTATTAACTAGTGGTCCTCATTTTGGAAGCTTATCTCCAGCCAAACAAACGCTTCCTGCGTGTCAGTGATGATGAAGGTTGCGTGGACTAACTTTGCTGTCCAGCCTACTGACTTGGCAAGTGGAGGTTTGACTGGGCTGCATAGCCTGAAATGTTAATCGGGGAGGGCTAAGGCTGCAGATTGTTGGGAAGAAGCTACATAGCTTCTGCCTGCACCTTGCTGTGTTTGTAGGTAATTTTAACTTTGAAGGTAATCAAATACTGCATCGTCAAAGGAGCCTATAGAAAAGAAAGCCCCTCTGGGAACCTGGAACGTGATTCCTAAATCACAGGAAAAGTGCATGCAAAGTGAAAACGAAGGGCAAGTTTTGCATCTCATACTGTCTGTGCACGAGATGTGTTGCAGAGAAATGTCTGCACTTCAAATGAAATAAACCTTTTCTACTGCTTTTAAAGAGGGTATTTTAGCTGTCCTGAATCTAACCTCTGTGGAGTTGGAAGGAAGCATCAATAACCTAAAGTTTTCTGTATTTTAAAAGCTTTTCACATTGACAGTGGATATATCAGCGTCTTCCAGGACAAATGGTGGAATCATGCCCTCCTGATTATCAGGAGGGCACGGTATGAAAGACCCATAAAAATAGGGTTGAAAGCACTCAGGGGATTGTATACTCCAAGCCTACCTCAAGAAGGGACCAGCTGTGTCTAAGCTGTTCTTGATGGGCAATGGGTGTAAGATTTTTAGGTCTCCTGTCAGTCAGGAGAACACCATATCTGTACTGTCTTCAGTCACTGTAATGGGTGGCATGTGTTTTGTGAAACCATGTATTTAGAGGAGAAAAAAGAAACACTCTAATAGTCACTTGAGTTAAAAGTAAAAATAATATTTATCTGAAACTGTTCATATTTGTGACCCGCATACTTGCACTTGTAGCCTTGACAAAGGGGTTACTTGTGCTAGAACAAGAGTGCTGTGGGGACAGATCTGTGCTGTTGGAAGAATAAAACGGGTCCTCGCAGAGCTGGAGGAGTAACACCCTTGTCATATGAGTCTAAAGTAAACCGCTGAATGGATGTTCCATAAAATGTAAATCTTTCTGAAGTTGAAACTGTGTATATGATGTTTCAGTCCCTAAGAACAATTTACAAATGATCATTTAGATGGCTTGCTTTGAATTCCTTTTTCTATCTGTCATTTGCTATGATAGCATCATCTGTGTTAATGTATGGCGACTGTTGTCTCTATTTTTTATAATCTAGCCTTCTCTTTGTTTGCTTATGTGTTTTTAAAATAAAGTCGTTGTTTTACAAAAATGATTCATTCTTTACAGACCAAACTTTAAGGTTGTCCAAACTTTAAATCGCTTTTGCCAGTGCGGGTTAGCAGAATCTGTATATATTGTGTTACAATAATACTGAGCATTGACGAAAAAAGATCTGAAATGAGGATGGTATCTGGGATAAATTTACAGTCCTTAAGTGCTTTTCAAAATTCTCATTTGATTCTTTAAAGAAAAAAATGTGAGGGTTTTTTGTTTGTTTTTCAACTTAAAGATGCTGAGTGTTTACTTGCAACCTCCAATCATATCAATAGACTTGTAATGTTAAAGTCATTTTGATTCTGCAGCCTTGCCTTTAGGTACCAAGATATCAATGTAGATGCCTAACGTCAGCCTTTTCCCTGCCATCAAGCAAACTAATTTTTTAATGTCAAATCTTAAACTGCATATGCTATGGACTCTTTGACTTGCCAACACACAGGTGCAAAGACAGGCTGCTCTTCGTGGAGATTTATCCCTGTCCTTTGATGTAGGGACAGGCTGCTCACAGCAGCGAAGATCAAGAACATGGTCCTTCTGCATGGTCACCACATGTGTGTCCCCTAAAGCAGTAATAACTATGGTAGTTGTCAGTTATCTTGCAGTTGGGTTTTGGCCCCAGGTCAACCAGCTGGCTGAGTGCTCTGGTTATAGTGTCGAGAGAGGCGCTGGATATCTCCGTAGCTGTGAACGTGTTTGCCGTAGGCATCTGTTGTAACAGGGAGATACCTCGGTGGGGAGCAAGTGCTCCTCCGACAGGGCTCTGTTTGCTCATCTGTAACCGTGGGGGCTCCTTTCCTGGGGGCTTGGTGGTGGGAGGAGGGGCTGGCTGCTTCCCGGCTCTCTGGTGCTTTCCCTTCTGCTGATAATTTGCAAAATCTTTTAGTTCAATCCCCCAGTTTAGAAAGTAGGTGCAGTGAAACACTAACACTGGGAATAGCAAATCCCTTCCGTTTGTCTTGTTGTTTTCTAATGTATGCGACCTCTCTGGGTGGTTTAAGCGGTTTAGGTACTTTCTATAAAAGGGATCTTTTAATGACAAAACTAATGTGATTATCTTACTGAGTGTGAGAGGCGTATTCAAGGTTTAAAGAAAATCTGTTAGAATAGCTGAATGTATCTGCTTAATCCTTTCTCTAATGTGGATGGACAATGCTCTGGGAAGCAATTGGTCTTTCTTTCTTAGAGTAAATGCCTGGTCTCCAGAGGTAGGAACTGTTTGCAGCTTTTTATACCCTTACGCTTCACCTTCTAGAGAACACAAAGGCACAGGAGAGAGGCAGAGAGCTTTGAGAGGCCAAGTTTTTCCTCAAATAGCTGGGGGTGTAACCAATACCAGACCAATTCCGGCAAGCTGTTGAGCACCCTCAGCTCCCTTTGACTGCGATATGAATGAAGGGCCGTCCACATCATGCAAAATCATGTCCCTGGAACGTGAAATACAACAGCGCTTTCTCCTTCCTGAATGGTGCACGCCGAGTGCGTGGGTAACCTGATCTCCGTCACTTGGATGGCCAGATCGTTGCCTGTGTTAGAGATTGCTGAGCGACTGCTCTCCAACACAGATCCTGCCTGTGTTTGTGTGCTGGTGAAGTAGTGCTTCCTATGCAGAACCGTGTCTTTGTACGTTTGGGGGAGGTTGCCAGGAAGAGTAATTTTGGGAATTTTCCAGAGTACTATATATAGGACCCCCACCTTTCCTAAGTGTTTATCAAAGCAAGTAGGGGTGAGTGAGAAACATAAGCAGAGAAGCTTCCACACAGCTTGAATTGCAGCCTTTGGTTGTGGCTGCTTCCTGCCTGGATCTCTTTACAGCATATGGATTTGACTGCATAGCTGAAGCAAGCAGGTTGCCTTTTGTAATTCGTTATCCAAACATCCCAGAAACAGTACATAAGGAGGAAAGATAATGAGCTGCTGCCTTTTCCAGTGTTATTGAATTGAATGCACTGTCTCCTCTCACCACCCACTACAGAAATGAGGAGAAAAGAAGTTCCTCAAAATCAGTATATCTTCATCATGGAGATGGGCATGGAGATAACCATACAAACGAGTCTTACTACCACGGGCCGTGAAGTACTGCACTTGGATTCTCTGTTGTGAAGGGAGACAGCATTCAAGGACTAAAGACTAAGCGCAAAATTTAAAACAAGTCCTAGGATGAGGACTTGACATCTCCTCACCAGAGTGCTGTACAATCAGTAATCATAGGTTAGGAAGCACCTCAGGAGGTCCCTAGTCCAGCCTCTTGCTCACAAGCAGGGTCAGCTACGAGGACATACCAGGTTGCTCAGGGCTTTATCTGTGCATATCTTGAAAATCTCTAAGGACAGAGCCTGCACAACCATTCTGGGTCAGCTGTTTCAGCATTTAACTGTCCTCATGCTGGTAAGATTCTATGTCTAGTCCGAACCACTCATTTCAGCTTACACATGTTTCTTATCCTCCCACTATGCACTGCAGTGAAGAGCCTTTCTCCATCTTCTTGATGATCCCTGTATGCACTGGCGGGCTGCTGTTAGGTGCCCCTGAAGCCAACCCTTTTCCATCTCAAACAAGCCCAGCTCCCTCAGCCTCTCCTCACAGGACTAGTGCTCCAGCTCTGACTGTCCTGGTTGCCCTCTGCTGACCTCACTCCAACTGATCAATGTCTTTTACTGAGAGGCCCCAAACTGAGTGCACTATTTGACGTGTTATCCAACGAGTGCTGAATAGAGCGGTATGGTCACCTCCCTGTTTCTCCTGTCTCTGCCCCTGTTCATCTAGTCCAGGACACTGTTGCCGTCTTTGCTGCCAGGGCGC